GCCAGTCCTCCCAAGGCTTAGCAGTGTAAGGCCAAACCTGCACCCCTGACGTTGCTGACACAGAACTGAATGGAGGGTTCGGTCCCTGCATTATTGCAATATACACATGGACTCCTCCAGGATCAAAAGCAGAAAAGGGCTCTGTGGCCATCCTACTGTGCCCTACGCTGGAAGCAGTCAGATACTTCCCCATCCCATCAGCTTTGAAGACACTGCTTCCCCTGGTGCCCGCAGGGGAGGAGGGAGGAAGATATACCAGCCGTGTGCTGGCCAAGGAGACTGAATGGGCCAAGCAGCCCCAGCTTGAAGGGTTCTTAGAAGGCTGCACAGTGAGTCCTCGGCACTTAATGTTTTTCCCTGCTCACTCCATGAGATGAAGCAGTGTCATTATCCTCAAGCTTTTCTCACCTATACACAAGCTATTTTAGGGGACTGCTGATCACTGCCTCCCTTACAGACTGCTGCTGTCTAGTAAACCATTGCAGGAGCTATGGCAGGCCAATTGGAGGGCATGGTGGCATGAGACAAAGCAATTCCTATTAAGGCTGTTTGCAGAGATCTCACTCAGAGGGTGCAATTATACATATTAACGATTCCAATTGCTCACAGATTAGCGAAATAAGGGGAGAAATGTAAAACAAATATTACTAAAAAGACAGGAGAAGCAAAGTGCTACAGAGGGAGGATGTTTGCTTAACTGTGCAAATTCAAATGGTAATTTAAAAAGGATCCCAAAACCATGCAATTCCTCAAAATACTCTCTAACTCTGCAGAGGAGTCACACATGATGCAACCACTATGAAAGTCAGTCCAGTCTCAGGATGATTGCAGGACACAGGGAAGATCTTTCCAGTGCTTTAGGATTAAGTAACAACCAGTTTTTAGCTATTTTTTTAGTTCCTCCTGAGTTCCCTGCCATGCTGTATGCATTTCTTAGCATGCATTAAGGCATTTGATAGGTTGATTTCCATCAACAACACACATTTGATTTAACTTAAGCTCTCTTTCTAGCATTTGGCCACTGGCATTCTCACAGATTCAAGAAGAATAAGTTATCAGATTCATGACCGTTAGGAAAAGGATGCACTGTTCTGTAAAACCGAAGATATGTTAAATTCTGAAAATGAAGTGATCCAAAGGCAGCTATATTGATATACTGAATTCAAATTACAGGCAGTCCCCGGGTTACGTACAAGATAGGGACTGTAGGTTTGTTCTTAAGTTGAATTTGTATGTAAGTCGGAACTGGTACATATTGTAGGGGAAACTCTAGCCAAACATTTCTCCAGAGCTCAGTTTTATTCTCCCACACCTCACTTCCCTCAGGCTTTATTCTCAAGCTGAGGTGTCTGCTAAGAAAATCCGCTCCGCGTCTCCCTAGTCTGCTGGGGGGGGTCTGCTGGGGGGAAGCAGCTAGTGCGGGGTTGCCTCACCCTGTTTGTAAGTAGGGATCCAATGTAAGTCGGATCTATGTAACCCGGGGACTGCCTGTATACAACATTTTCAGTTTCTCACAAGTATCCCACAAATTGAAAGAATAGCAGCAACATGTTAAATGGAATTTGTTTGAGGAAGAAATGAGGAGGGTCTTACAGCTTACTTTTCATGAGATCATTAACAAATATTTGCAATAAACAAACCTCAGTTTAGCCCAGAATTTACTGAACTCCTTTAACATGGGGATTAGCCCTTTTTCTAGTGGCTCATGGCTCTAGTAAGAGACCATTTATTTAATTTGTTTGTGCTAATTTGAAAAGCTTAATTGAAAAACAATAGCACTTATCTTCATAAAACAAATTGAAAATTGTCATTAAACTTCAATCATTCTTTCACACAGTAAGTGGACACGGACATGGGATTTGCTATACTACTGTATCAAAAGCAACTGAGCTACTTTTCAAATATGGTTTTACCAGGAAGGGGTGGTGCAAGAGGCTGGTTGGACAACAGCTGCAAGTGCTCCAGAGTGATATCACGGATAGCAGGATGATTTGGGGGCAAAAATATTGAGGAGAGCCATGCGGCAGTATAACCGTGCAAGAGAGGCTTCACATCTCAAAAGTTCTCTATAAAAAAAGGAAGATTCAGAGTTAATTAGAATAGCAGTTATACTTAACGGCTTGTTTCTTGGACACAAAACCAATGTATGAACTTACAGACAGTAATAACTAAGTAGACACAAATCTTTCTTATTCACTTTGGAAAGCAAATCATTAGTGACGGAATAGGTAGGTTCTATATGAAAAACTATAAACGTTTCACTACGGCTTCTCCAGTGCCTGGGCACCAGCAGGCCACAAGCTTAAAACATCTATGGGGTTCTTCATAGTTGGGGGTCCCACCTGTACAGATCTGATGGCAGGAATGGAGCCCTCTTTACACAGAACTCCAAGACAATGGTAGTGAACAAAAACTCTTTTCATCTCTAGAAAGAGATGAAGTGGTCAGTGCCTCAGTTTTAGTTCATTAGCTAATAGCCCTTTTTGGCACGGCAAAGTTGTAAATTCTTGCTACCTAAAATTCCCTTTAGTTTCATTTTGGCCCTCTGATATGGTAGATATCTTCCTGTAGTGCTCTTTGCTTTTACAGCTTGGTATTCCAAATGAGAAGTTCAATCCTGAGCTCCCAAGGAAGTAAGTGCTCAGAATCACACAGGATTGAGTGCATAAATGCAATTACCACCAATACAAGAAGAGACTATACTAGACAAGATGTTCGTGCCTTTGACAGAGCTAAATATTTATGAGTCATGTAGAGAGATCACTCTTGTTTTTAATAATGCCTCAATAAGACCATAACAACTCCTTTTATAAAAAGATGATCTAGACAACACTATATGGAGACCCAATGACCTTTTTGTAGGTCTACATCTAGTAAGTGTACAGGTTGGCCCTCCCTAGTCCTGCACCCTCAGGAATTAGCTGGACCAGCGGAGGTCCCCTGCCACCAGCCCCCCACCCCATCACTGGCTCCACTTCCAGCCCCACCCAGCCACCCTGCCGCAGCTCTGGCTCCCCTGGCTGCTAGGAGGCTGCCAGACCATTGGCTAGCTAGGATGCTGCCAGACCATTGGCTCCTCAGTTGCTGCCAGATCCACCAGGCTCCTAGCCCAGCAGTGCTCCCAGCTGCCAGACCTCCTACTGCCTGACTCCAGCCACCGAGGTGCGCAGGCTCAGAAACATCCATAGTCCTGCTCTACACGGATGTTGCTAGATTAGAGTCCCAGTTTAGGTAGGTGCAACCTGTGCTACGAAGCAAATCTATTATTCAATGCAAAGCTGCAATAAGTAATTCATTCTAACATGTGAAACCCTGGAGTTTGTCCAAGTGATAAGCACGGACATGTTGATGTGTGCGCCCTATATGCACTAAATTAATTTATTTACCTGTGAATTTGAATGTTCGTATTATCCAGAGTAACCAATCCATTTGTTGCAGTCCTCCTATAGCCAGCAGGTGGCCTTTCTAACATGTCAATAGGATACCAGTACCTTACCAATACACCTTCACTTCTAAGATAAGTCTCTACTTGTACCAGTTCATTTACCTGAAATATCAAATAGAATGCTCTCAGTACATTGGACACATCTTTAATCAAAAACTGCATCTTAAATGAACTAGCATGTGTTAGATTAGAGAAAAGTGCTGTAAATCCATTAATAAAGGCGAAATATAGCTTTACTCACTGAATCAACATCCAGAACAACACCATGAAGACCAAATGTCTTCAGCATCCCACGAATAGCAAATTTTGGTAAAGCTGTTCCCACAGCATTGCTGGCCATGTTGTTGCTGTCTGGACAGCGAGTCACCACTGTAAGACCTGGAGATGAAGGAATAGCAGTCTACATAACATCATTTACAATCACAATGTGGTAGGAAAATTCCTATTTCCTATTTTTGATCACATTCTAAGCATTCAACTCTAAATGTACTAAGTCTTAGTATGTTTTATGTTGTATACGCTGCCAAACTATTTTCCAGTAAAAATAGATTTAAATTATTATGGTTATTATCATTGTAGAAATGACTTAGAACTATTGTAGAAATAGATTTGGATTTTTATGTGTAGAAATAGATTTAGATTTTTATGGTCATTATTTAGTTTTTAGTTCTAGAGTAAATATTGTAATATAATACAGTAAAACATGTAATAATGTACCCTTTTGAAATTCTGTCTATGTCCTTGTTAAATTTAAATTTAAAATTAAATTAATGGAGATTGCCTGTCTCCTAGAACTGGAAGGGACCTTGAAAGGTCATCGAGTCCAGTCCCCTGCCTCACAGCAGGACCAAGTACCATCCCTGACAAATTTTTGCCCCAAATCCCTAAATGGCCTCCACAAGGATTGAACTCACAACCCTTGGTTTAGCAGGCCAACTCTCAAACCACTGAGCTCTCTCGCCTCACATGTGAGAGAATGAGGAATATATGGAAGATAAGTGTGAAGGTCACCATTGGACCAGATGTTAGGGGATGTACCCACTAGCTAACAAGAGGCACCTGAGAATACTGCATATCAAAAGAGGGCAGATCGATGGATCTGAAAGATGGCAAGTGTCTACAAATTGGGAGAAGATATTTGTAGTCGAAACTACCTTAGCATGGAATAATAATAATAATAATAATAAAGCAAGAAAACAACCAGAAATAACAAACATCTGTCAGAAAAACAGCATAATTATGCAAAACTTTCTAATCCCAGTAAAGAAAAACATACTATAAAAAGGGACTACATTGCCATGAAACTTTGGGGTATGTCCTGCCAAAGACTGGAGCACCGGTCTGAACCATTAGAGCCTCTGCTCCTCCATCCATGATCAATATGGTAGGCCATGGACCATGGATGGTAAATATAACATTGATTGGTGGGATAATATGTGTGTGTGTCTTTATAAGCATATGCTAACTGCTTTGCCGTTGTTTTCTCAATAAACATGTCGTATTGCCCTTTCCCCCTACAAAGAGTCCAGGTGTTTTTAAACACAACAAGAAAGTCCCAAATAATTGAATAGTTTATACACACTGATTTGTAGTACTCAGTCTGAAAGACTAATCTTTGGTTCAAGGATGCACAAAGATTGCTTTCATTCGATTCTGTTTTGGGGGAATTGTTTAACTCTGACAAGTGATTCACTTTTTAAAAAAAGCAAAACCAAAGCAGTGATTTAACCCCTCACTCTATTAAGCTAAAAAAGTTGTAGCCTTAAACAAACCAAATATGATTTTGACTTGTGCGCGTCAAGTTCAAAGGGCATTTAGTGCTAACTTTTGTCCTATTGGCAAATAAAGCTTGAAATAGACATACCTTTCCGAACTTTATCAATTGTGAATTTATTTGCTTCATCTTTGATATCCTCGATAGTAGGAAGATAGAGGTCTCTTGGGATACCACCGTTTTCCTCATAAAGGAATTCTACAGTTTGTCGGGCTATATCTACCATTCCTGGTAAACAAAATAGCCTTTGGATTAGACACTGACCTTGATCTTGTAACAAGCCACACAATTGAACAAATGTATCCCAGCATATTCTCATTTTATTATTCTACCACTTTTAATAATCTCTTTTGGTAAGAGGTAGCAAAATCTGCCTTATATTTAGCACTCAAAAAGGCTAAATCAACATCACACTGATTTCTGGAGAATATTTATTGATCTAATCTGCTTCAGGAAACAAATTTATTACTCATGGTAACCCTATCACAGTTACACTAAATGTTTACCTGCATACTATAAGCTAGTCTGAGACAACTTTGTGGGTAACCTAATGGTGGGTTTCAAGCTTTAAGTATGTGCACTATGGACAAAGAAAGTCATCATTTTCATTTACCTCTACAGATTTTCTGTCCAGATAGAAATTTATGAGAACAGACATTTCAGCATTATCCTAAGGTAGCAGTTCTCAAATGGTGAGGCGCAACCCTGTTTTGATGGCAATGCCAGGCATGACATCAGACTTACTGGATCCTGGCCAGGATCCCCTCTGCCCAGGGTTGAAACTGAAGCCCAAGACCTTCTGCCCAGGGTGGTAAGACTCCAGTTTAAAGCCCCCTTTCTAGAGCTGAAGGTCTTGGGCTTACCCCCCCACTCATCCAAGATAGCAGGGGTTGACTGAGCTCAGGATTTGGTCCCCTCTCCTGGGGTTGTATAGTAAATTTGGTTGTCAGAAAGGGGTCACTATGCAAAAAAATTTAAGAACCTCTGTTCTAAGCGATACCAGAATTAGAGAGAGACTTAAATAGAGAACTACCATTGGAATCAAAACAAGAACTGCCTGGCTCCATTAGGATTAAGTCGTAAAGCTAACCTTCCTTGGCAATTTCAATTCTAATTACACTCACTTAAAAGGGAATAACATACAAAAGTCCCAGTTCCTTTTGCAACCTCATCTCCTCAGAGCTTTAGTATTCTTGCCTTCAAGTTTTTGTACTCTGTTCTAATGCCTGAACAGTTTCCATCTCTGGAAATGCAGGATTTGGTATATCGAGGGCCACAGAGTAAAAGACAAGAGGAAAGGGAAACAGAAGTGGCAGGAGCTCTACTCTTCAGCATCACAGTACATGAGATTTTACTGATTATTTAAATTCTATCAGACTGATTTGAAGTGATGCTTTCCTACCAATGAGCTAATACACTCTGCATTAGTGACATCAACCTCCACTACCAGGGTACATTAAACTGAGATTAATTATTAGAATAATCACAAAACAAGCTAAGAAAAAGCATTTCAAGGAAAAAAAACATTGCATAGGAGATTGTTTTGGTTTCATCAGAACTGAAATGTTTATCTACTATTCAACTGCATTGTTCATGACTTTTTTTAAAGGAATGTTTTATTGTAATCTACATGAAGCAGTGACTAGGAAACTCAGTCTCAAGTGACACCAGGAAAAAGACACATTCAGCCCTAGCAAGCTAGCTGCTATATAAATATTGACCAATTAAGAGCAATTAACCTAAGAGTGTCTATGAAAAAGAAAAGACGTCTAAAGCAAAACAGGAGAAAGTTGTTTTATTTACAAGCACATTTGTCACTGAATATTTAGGCCGATTAGTCCCCCTATATAAGATATAAGAGAAGGCTGTTGACTCTCTTGCTGAACAAGCAAATGCATGTGAGATTGAGCTGTCAAACGTGGACAGAATGGAAATGAAAGTCTCTGAAGCATTCCACCTTGTCCAAATCACTAGTTTACCAACATAAAAGAAGACACAACTTAGGAAAAAATCCTAAAGTTGTCAGCCATGAAAATAAAATGAATCCTCATATGCCTGTTAGAGATTGTAGCCATGTACTTTATCAATAGCTCCTGAATAGTTAGCAAAATCAAGTATCAAAAACAAACATACCACCAGGAGTTTCTGGGCACTATGTAGCATTTTGTCAAGACCCTTAGCCAAGTGACTTTGATTAAAAGATCTTTTATAGGAAAGTACATGCAAAAATCTGTGATTAATACAAGATTATACAGTTAAACGTTTGTATCTTGAAATAGAGAAATTAAGGTTCCAACAATATCATTCATTTTAGTTTTAAAATGAGCCAAATTAAGCACTCAAGTTCCCATCCTTGCCTGCCAATAATCAGTTAATAAGGCAGCAGTCTGTATCTTTCTGTTGTAATTGATCTTTGGAATGAAAAATATAGAACTTTGTTTCAAATAAAAGTAGTGACTGTTGAATACAGCAGAATATAACAAAAAATGCTGAGCACCCCTTAAATAATGTAATACTTTTTTGTGTGTGGGGGGAGAAGATTTCAATGTGGCACTTACACATAATCCTTCTTATAGGTTGCCCCATCAGCCCCTATTTCTTACACAACTTGCTAAAAGTTTCTCAACCAATATTTCAATCTATAATCTTTCTTCTTTCTAAAAATACTTCCCCACAGGTTTCATAATTCAGTCAGTATTGATGTAGCTATGTCTAAAATTGTTTTATAAAATCCTAACTACTACATATTCTCATACTCCTAACTCATAACCTATAAAAAGAAAAGATTTTGAAGAAACTTTGCACAAATCTGGACCCTGCACAAAATATCCTATTTTTGAGCCAAAACCAAGCGTGGAAAATATTTGCCCAAAAGAATGTTTCTGTAAGTTACGAGTGTATGAAAAATAGAAGACTAAAACTAGGGATGTTAGAATTTAACTGACTATTTAATCGATTAGCTGATGCTTATCATTTAAAGTCAGCTGGCAAGCAGCTTACTGCAGCAGGGCAGCAAAATGCTGCCTCCTCAGGAGCAGGAAAGAGCTACCTGCTCTGCTCCTGGAGAGGCTTTGGTGCAAGCTCTGAAGTCTAAAACATAGCTAAATGTAACATGCAACCACTTAAGATTTTTAGCAGCTACATGGCTACCAAATTAAATGCTTTTTACCATCCCCAAACTGTTTTACAGCCTTGACTCTAGTAGGTGCAACAAGGGACTGCTAGACTGATCTAACGCTCACAGTTTCATTCCTGCACTTGTTATCTGCCACATACAATTATGACCATAGAAATAAATATTTGATAGTCATACCTAGCTGTAAAGCCCCTTTAATTTGGTCCAAACCAGACTCTCTCTCAGTTAGTTTCCCAGGCTTTAACCAAGAGGGCATAATGATCCTCCTGGGAAATGAAGTCAAATTTAGGCATTTAGAACATGAGAATTAGTGGAAACTCTGGTTTCTCTAAGAACAAAAATCAGTTCAAAGCACTTTTTTTAAAACACAAGATTAATAGTTTGAGAGTAGCTCTGTAACATTTGAGGTGTCCCTTCCTCCTTACCCGGGGAATGTCATCGTCATCATCATCATCACTTTCATCATCTGCAATCGCAGGGGGATGTGGATCTGGGCCTGATGTGAAGAAGTTTTCATAGCTGAGTTCCATTTTATAATGACAAGAAGTGTCGCTGTCATATTCTGCAACCAACCAAATTGAAATAATGAATTAGAGACCTACAAAAATATTTCATGAAGTTCTTCAGATAGGTTGCATTCTGTGGTCTCTTTCCAATCACTTGGGGGAAGTTATTTAACGCATTTTGACATTGTGTAGAAAATTGGATGAACTCAACGAAGTGAGGCATCTCTGGACAGTCAGAACACTAATGAAATATTTTTTCATTATGATTACTTTAACTCGGAACACTTTGAATGCTTTATTCCATATAATGCAACACAAAGATGACTGATTTTTTCCAACTGCATTGTCAAAAACGAAGTGAGCATTTTTCTGCCGATGTCTATTGTGCTTCTTTAATTATTATTGTATTGTATCTGGGCAGAGTCCTGAGAATTTCAAATCAGAAAACATTTAATTGGATTTAGACCATTTTACTCAAATAAACTGAGCATGCTATTTAAATGTTAGTAATGATCACTTTACGTTGCTGAGCTGTGGCAACAGCAGCTATTCTACAAGGAGGCCCATGGGTTCCAGGATCAGAAGCCGTGCTGGTACCAGCATCGTTATCACTATCAGAAGCCATGGCGAAAGGCAATGCTTCAAAGTTGGCACTTATTTCTTCAGCTAGGTCAATGCACAGATCAGCAGCATTCCTGTGAGCTTGTCCCTCAGCGTAAGCAAACTGTCGAGATCCAAAGTTTGCACGGACTTTTGTATTCTGTAACAAAAATTCAAATAAAGGTATTGATATGAAGTACTATTCCGAACTTTGGCCACACGCAGTGATGAGCTTCCTGCTGGTTATGACCATAGTCTCTAGTGACACAAGTTTCCTTGCATTATTGACCACAAAGTTTAAATAAATAAGTGTGAGAGTACACAATTAAAAAGTACAACACTGCTCAATCCAACTTTTGAGCTTTAATTATTCAAGCTGGTACTTTCCAGATACATTTGGACAAGTGCAATTTGCAGCAAGGTCACTGCTAAGACTAAAGTCAAGTAAGGTCCACTAATATATAAAGATCAACTCAGTCTCCCTATCATCATGATGGGTGAGAATGGCTGGCATTTATGATAAATGAATATGCACATTAGCAAGAGAATACAAGTTTTAACCCAAATGAATAAATAATGGTGAAAAGAATATTAAAAATATTTTCATGATTTCCACACAGAAATGCTGACTATTGATGATAAAAGTCAAATACATCCCAAAGTAGTTGTTTGATTGTTAAACCTGCCTTTTTCTGAATGTGAACCACTGGCCACATTCCGCCAGAGACATCCTCCAGGTAGGGCCCAAGTCGCTGTCCACAATAGGTGAAGTACACTCTTCCTTTACCTGGCTGCCCTGGGGGGGGAGGAGTGCCTTCTGATCTCTCCCAGCCAATCCCTGCTATATCCCCTAGAGGAAAATAAAACAGGAGAAAATTCTTTTTTCATCCATCACCTTGTTTATATTGAAGAGGCATTAGGCTCTTTCAGCTAAATAACTAAGCAGAATTCTGACATACCAGGAGAAAGGGTTACATCCAACCGGACACTCTTCCACTGCAGCAAGCTAGAGCCATTGTAATGCACAGCTCGTCCATTACTAAAAAATAAAATGTGAAGAAGAAATTTAAATATAAAAAAGCAGCCCTCTTGTGTAAAACATCATTGTAAATGGCCATCATTGCCAGACACCACTAAAGTGCAAATGAAACTCTCATTTTCAAAACTTTAACCCCTTCACTGAAATTACTGGTTGAGCACTCAGATGTGTTCAGCACTAATCAGGAACAAAAAGCAAGCATGGTACCCCTTCAGAGGAACTTATTTTTGTTTAGGGAGGGCAATAGGCTTGGCATTTTTAATGAACATGTTTGCAACGTACTTGTGAAAGAGACATGTGCCAACAGGATTTGTCCAGGCCCCATCCCGTTTTTCTGCTTCAGTAGCAAACCCAAATGAAACAATCGGACCAGTGTCATCATCTGTATCTCCATAGGAAACTATTTCAATCTCCCAGTAAAATGATGGTGCCTACAAAAAGTCATGCAGAAAACTTGTTGGTAATCTTTAAAAAAAAAAAAATGAAGGCAAAATACCACAGAAATTGCTCCATCACTGTGATTACTTACCTGAACTGGAACTGGGGAGGTGGCGTAGATAAACGTGCCACGGGGCAGTCCCCCACCTGCACTAGGGTCAGCCAGAAAAGTCACAGCTGTGAGATGTGATGAGAACATGCATGCTCGTACAGGTGGAAACACTCTAGAAGGGCTCCAGGTTATCTCCTTGGGCTGTGAAACAGTTATAAAGAATGTTTTAATCTGACTGCATTTGAGGTCACAAGCTAGATTTCATTCTACTGAAATCCAATGACCAAAATCTACTATAGAATGCATACTTGACACAGAATATAAAATAAATAACTAATATATTGTATTCAAGCGTGTTTAAGTGTGATGAATTTTTCTTTTTTCTTTAAAACCCTGTAATGGTTTGACTCCAGTCATTCTCAGATCACCTTATCAGAAAATGAATGTATTAGAGAAAACACCAGAAAAGCAGCACTTCGTTGATGTTTGTTTACCTGTCTTCTGTCTGCCTGAAGTGGGGGAGGTGGAGGACGAGCACAATCTCGATACAACATTCTTAGCCTTTCACATTGCACTTCTACAACAAGAAGCCTCTCCCCTGTAACAAAACACACCAAACTCATATAATTGATCAGCTTAGCTGGAGACAGTCATTTGAGATCTAAAGATTACACCTCTATTAAGAACCAATAAATGTGGCAAGCAGGTCAAATTCAGAAATTATTCTTTCCACTCACTTCTTCCCCCCTCCATAAAAACAAACCCAGATTGAGACAAACATTAGAAGTATGCCTGAGAAAGGCTTATATTTCCATGAAAGTGTCATATATGAGAGGAATTACAAGACCAATAAATAACTCTGAAATTATTTCCAAGTAACAGAGAAATTGCATTCTAAGTGACCAAAACAGTTGATCTGCATCAAGGCTGTCACTCCATCTTTACTTGGGGTGAATAGTAAAGAGGCACTTACACAGCACCTAACATCCACACTCTAGAAAGACATCCTCATATCTACACTCCTCCATCACTATTCAGCATGTGCATGCTTCTGTTAAAATTTATTTAAAATAAAAATCAATTAGCTTGTACAGCTTCAAAGAAAACTGATTAAGACAAACGAAACCATACTATTTGCTATTAGGTAATCAAGATTCTTCAGTGTACTGAAACTTATAGGATACTTTTGGGTAAGGGAACCTTAGAAGTTATAGATTAGCCATTGGAATAAAATGACCACTGGACTGCTATTAAAATGAAGCACAGGACTGCATTGTTCATAAATATCTAGTGCAGGGGAGGGCAAAGGAGCCTCCAGCCTTTGGCCACCCTGCTGCTCCCCCACCTCCAGGCCAACAAGAGACCTATGGACGGGAGAATATGCCAAGTCTCCTCTCCCTCCCCCATCCCCCGGGCTGTGTGGCATCAGAGGGAACTGCTGGCTGTTTTAAAACTGATGGTGGTTCTCTCTAGCTGCTAGGCACCCCTGATTGGACAGGGGCAGAAGATGAGAGATTGGCCTGGGGGTGGGAGAAGTGCACTTAGTCTCATCCTGTAGCGGCACCCAGAGAGACCTGCCAGCTGTTTTAAAACACTTGTCAATTCTCTCTAGATACCAGGGCAAGGGAAAGACTTCACATACTCCCCCACCACCAAGCCAATCAGCATGAGAAGTCTCTTGGCCTTGCCCCTTCCGCCCAAGGTCCTGCCTCTTTCAGGGCAGCCCAGGGCCACTTTGGAAAATTGAGAAGTGGCCCCCTTTTAAAAATTATTGCCCATCCTGATCTAGTGATTTGGGGCACCAAGACAGAGACGTTCCGAACTGTCTAAAAAATCAAGTCTTGATTTGGTTGAATAAGAAGTAGGACTTTGTGGACTTGTAGATGCTAATGTTCTACATTGTTTTGTTCTTAAGAGCATTTATGTAAAACAATCTATTTTTGTGAGTTCGATTTTCACAATAAGGAGATTGCACTACAGTACTTGTATGAGATTAACAGAAAATACTATTTCTTGAGCTTATCTTTTTACAGTGCAAATATTTGTAATAAAAATAGTATAAAGTAAGCACTGTGTACTTTGTAGTAATTGAAATCAATGTATTTGAAAATGTAGAAAAAAATCCACAAATATTTAATAAACTTCAATTGTTTTTCTATTGTTTAGCAGAGAACCTGAGAGCATGATGATGTCATTCTGTTGCCCAGCAGGAAAAACGTTTTTTTATATAAGGAGAGATTCAACTACAATAAAGCAAGAAAAGGCCTACAAGAAAGGCGGAAATCAACAACAGAGGTGACTGATAATCTCCCTGAAATTTCAGTAAGACATTTCAATGATCAGAAAAGACTGTCTGATTCACACCACCACATTGTAAAAAACTATTTGGAAATGTACACCACCAAATCAGCCTTGTCTGTTCCCCTGGAACTAAAATTTGTCAGGAGTAAATATCACATAAAAATTTACTACAAAACAATGTAACTTATCACAGGCTGATCCACAGTTACCAGCAAGCCAGAGTTGAAGAGCATGGATAAAATAAAAAATAAAATCCTATTTATATAAACTTTAGTTTTGTTTTCATTTAACTTGTAATATCTGATCGGCAAATATTAATATAATAAAGATATGCTGAAAATTAATTTTGAACCAATAAGCTGCAGAGTTACCAAGTTTACAACCCAGTGTATTCATGAAGATAATTTATGGCAAAGGAATAAGTTACGCACATCTAATTTCAGACTGAAGGCGTATCAGAGTGCTGTTTGCTACAGCCTAACAGCTTCCTTTTTTTCAGTTTCCCCCTCCATTTAGAAATTCTGGCTGAATCCTATAATCTGTCCTTCACCCTAAAACTGCTACTGGGTCCAAGTGCCCACCCATAAACAGAGGAGGAAATCAGGAGATTTACAATAAGGGGAAAACATTAGAATGATCTTTAAAATAGGCAAGAAGTACACTGTTACACTAAAGAATGAATAAAAAAAAGAGAAAAACAGCAGCTTACACTCATAAAAAACTATGGAGAAATAACTGTATGCACATGTTAAACACATACCAGGACTACACTCTTGCGCCACCAAGTTAAGAACTTCTACAGCAGCTGGACACTGTTCTATGAATTCTTCACAAAACAAACTGTCTTCTAATAGCTGGGCCATCACCAGGCATGCTCTTAATGTAAAACATATACACATAAAAAACATTACAAAAATGTACATTATATGGTGAACTTGATGACAATAGTTGTGATGATAACTTCAGGACTAGCCTCAACAAAATGTGCATTCTTGTCTACTTCTGTTTGTTTAGTTGCTCTTTGAGAGTGCTGCAGAAATGGCTCGACCAACTTCATGATAATAAAACACCCAGTTCAAAGGGCTGCCAAATCCACTCCTGGCTCTGGGCTCCTTATTAGCAGTTAGGCCATTGTAACAAAGTCAGTACACTATTTCCTTTTGGAAACTAATACGATTCTTTATTCAACATAGTTTTTCCATGTAGCAAGATGCCAATATTTACACAAGAAAAATAAGCCTCAAGATGACCTCAGTTGGCTGGAACATTTACATTTTGTACAGCACCTTGTACGCTTAAGAGCTCTTTATAAATAATGAACAAAAACTCACCTTGTTCTTATTTCACCAAGGAGCCGGACCACTGCCATTACTGGAGTTGAGCCATCTCCTGTTGCAGGAAGTGAGGTATGAATAGATAGACTTCCCTCCTGAGGGAGCAACATGGACTGGACTGCCTGTACTACCTTCTCAGTAATGGACAGTTTATGAAGAGGCAATGCCTGATGATGGTGGTGGGGGTACGGTAAAAAGTTAAATTCAAGTAGTTAGTTTCTAAGAAATGAGGGTGTTTCATCACCTGGAGTTAATTCTCATTTTGTACTATCACAAAAACAGCACCAGACAAAAATTACAAGCCAAAAAGAAAAGGTAACACAATGCGTTACGGAATAACCTTAAATACTGAAGGATGAATACCATGTTATTTGGAAGAGGACTTACATATAAAAAATTTTATGAAATGTTTACACCATGACATAAACATTACAAGTCATCTTTAACCAAACACAAATCAGGCTTTTTACATGCTGCAGACAGATTGCTATTGTTTTTTCAAATCACTGTATAATTAGAGTACATTATCATTACACTTCATATTGGATTTTAAAATGACCTTACCTCAGATCTTGGAACACAGAGCCTAGATAATGGAATAGTTAATATGTCTGATGCTTGTGAGGTCTTTCTACAGTCTATACTGGCAGGTGGAAATCTGACAGTTGCTATACCTTCCTGTTCATTAATGGAAGCCACCACTCCAATACTTCCTGCTATTCCTCTACCCAAAACCTACAAAAATGAACAAGGAAGTACAACTTAAAAACCGTGAAATGATCAACAGAACCACAAAGCATTTGAAGTATAAAAGGAAAAGAAGTTAATTACCTGCACTTCAGAACCTATTTTAATTGTCTCTTTAAAGCCACCAAGAGCACATAGGGCAGCCACCGCTTGTCGAGCAATTCTTTGAAGTTTAGCAAGCTTCCTGCCACTGCTGCTCCCATTTTCCAAGATACTCTCTGCATATTTCCCAAGTTGCGGAATGTACATCAGAGCCCGAGACAGAACCTAAATATTCAAAGCAGAAATACTGGTCAGCAAAGTGTTGGTGAATTTTTTTTCAAAATACACCCAAGGAGCTATGCTAATTTTTAAGGAGAAGTATTTTCTGATACTTTAAGGTTCTTGATCAGTGAATAAGAAAGCCAGATTCCATTGCTAATGTAGGGATAACATATTAATGTATTGAAAATGATTCCCCAAATGGAAGTGACCCCCCATAATTTGTTCCCCACAACTTAAAGTGTTTAGATTTATTATTAATTCTTCTTATTATTATTTGTTAAGATTGTTAAATGTTTAGATTTATGATTATTATTGCCCCTTTAGAATATAATATATTAGGTCATGTAACTTAGAACTGTTAAAAATATAATCCTAACTGTTAAGAATATAATCCTATGTAACCAGAAACAGCCCCCTCCCCCCCCTCTGTGCTCCAGGGCATGCTCAAGCTTGTGCAAGGGGCTGCTTGAAATTGACATTGCAGAGATACATTGTAACAATGCATTGTCAAGCCACTAACTCTGCTATGGGAGCCAAGCCCTGTAATTGTCTAAGGGCATTGTTAACTTTACTTAGCAGTCAGAGAATGTTTTAAGCAATACCACCCAGAAACTTTCTGTAACTACAACTTTTATTATTATACAAAATACTGTATGAATGTATGAGAGAGTGCTTGGATGATGAATGAATGGCTCTGAGAGGTGCCAGCCTGAGAATACAGCAACAAAGGGCTGAAGAAGGCGTCAGGTGCCAGTGCAACCAAAAGGTGTCAAGTGGAGAAACTGGAGGTCCACCCGATGAGATCACTGATGAGCACCTGGCAGCCACCCTGGAGACATCAGCATGATACAGCAATTTCCATAGACTGGCATAGGAAGAAATTCCTATAAGAACTGGACTAAAAAACTATGGAATCAGAGTCCAAGGTTCTGCTGCCAGCCCACCAGGAGCTTCAGATGCGCATCTGATCAGGACTTCGCTCCCCACTACCATCACTTGTGTACAGAATACCTGGCCAGTATTCTGTCACAAGCAACTTCCAGGCTGGTAACTATACACAGAACTTGAATGAATGGATGTATGAATGAATGGTTTATATATATATATATATAAGTGTATAAGGGTTAAGTAGTGTTAGGAATAAGTAGTTAAACAACGTTGTTTGCTTCTATCTTTTCTTTATTTTTTATTATTATCTTTACAATAAATGTGGCTTTTTGCCTTATCCCCCTCATAAGATCCTGCTTGCTTTTATTTGGTACAACACTAATCCCACATAACTGTTAGAAGTGCAGTGATACGTCATGCCTCCTCGCCAAAATCCTCTCTCTAGCACATAGCCTGAGCACCCACAATGTATGGCAAGGGATCTGGAAATAAAGACTTTGTCCTCCAGACACTATTTTGACCCTTTAGGGGTCCAGGTGAGAGAGAATTGGTTTGTCAAGCCATGATGACTGCCAGAATAAACAGTCTTATGAAGTATAAAAAAATGTAACATTGCCATTTATCAGCAGTCTGTCCCTTGTTTCCAGATTTTTTTTTTTGACAATTTCTGCCTCCCCCGACCTTCTTTCTCTGATATTGCATATGGACCCAAGCTGAGCTATTAGGAGAGATAATATCTATTTGGACAGTGACAATTTTAAAATATATTTTAAATGAGGAAGCAGGAGATAAAGGAACTGATGCCAACAGTGAGAAGCTGTCCTGCACTGGATATATTTGAATGTACTTCATAGATTTAGATATCTAATCCTGCCTTGCTTACTTTTTCAGCGGTTGTCGTCCATATTTGAGCTGCATTTGATTCTGGTGCCATCAATAAGCTATGAAGCAGAGCAATCACCTCCGCTGCCATACTGTTTGCTACATGTCCACTGATAAATGGACGTACAGGATCCGTTCTGTAGAGAAGAAAAATATCACTTGCCCAATAATTCAAAACAGGATAGAAAGAGATGTTTCACTTGTTACCACTGCCCAAAACATGTGATGCAAGAGCAGGGCATTGATGGTTACTCTTCATTCCTACAAAGACATTCATGTTACTTTGAAGATTCCATAGTGACATTCTACCTAGCAAGTTCAGAATTCCTCTCCCGGCAAATGGAGGTTTGAGCCGTTTTCTTTTTGTCACCAGTTGACAGCCCACTAGTGGTTTCTGGACTGTTAGCTTCAACAGGTGGCCCGACACTGACAATTAGGCCAGACTGTGCCCACTTGGTAGCTTTCCGAAGAGCTGCAGCAGCCTCTTCTGTAATAACCTCACAGCAGCCACGCTGAGAAAGAAATATGGACAATATTCAGAGTGACTGTTTAATTAGCTCTCTTCAGGTCAAATCACCCCCAAAAGCAGCCATAACTAAAGGAATAATTTACCTGATAAATTTTAGTCCGGCCCTAACCCCTCCACTTGTGGTATAATCACAAAGAAATCAATACTTCCTTAAACTGTATTCATTATTCACACGGGATAGTTTTTTGTTTTATTTCAATATTTTTAAATCAATGAATTAATCAAGGAATAAATTTAATGCTATTAGTTTAGTTGGTCAGATAGAAACAACACCATATAACTGTTCTCTGATCAAAAAATTCATGAGTACTTCTGAGGCACATACCCATGAACATGAATTTAAAATCACATCTAGACTGCAAGCTTCTTTCGGAACAAGCTTTTCTGGAAATGATCTTCTGGAAAAACTGTTTCAAAAGAGAGTGTCTACACAGCAAAAGTGCAACGAAAAAATGATATGCTTTTTCAAAAGAGGGTATCCACATTGACTGGACACTATCTCGTATTTCAGTTGTGATTATTGGGGATAGAGTGGCCACCAGGGCACCTTTGCTTTTTCCTGGAGGCCTCTTCTTTCGTAAAAATACTCTCTTCTGTGTCCACACATGCCTTTTTCCAAAAAAGCTTTTTTCGGAAAAAGGCTTCTTCCTCGTAGAAAGAGGTTTACCACTGTCAGAAAAAACCCACCATTCTTTCAATTTTCTCTCGAAAAAATGCAATAGCAGTGTGGACATAAGTGTAGTTTTTCAGGAAAAACGGCCATTTTTCCAGAAACATCCTGCAGTGTAGACATACCCTGAGAAAGCATTAGCAGAAATATTTTTGAAGCAACATATAACACCTCTTTTTCAAGAATTTACACATATCTGCCATTAACATTGTTAGAATGCTGAGGTTTATGAACAGGTGTCCCTGAATTTCACCAGTTTAACGTAAATATCAATTAGACAAAACTTTATCTATGTTGAAGAGGATTAAATTTAGTTTTTGGGTTATTTTACAGAAGGCTTAAGAACAGTGGGATAGTGAGACTTGTGAATGTCTAATGACTTCTAAGATGTTAAATAATTATCTTTATTATTTCCTTACTTTAGTCATGTCCCGATCCATCTTCACTACTTTCTCCATATTCGCTCCAGTACCAAGTCGGAATGGTCGACCTTCTGAACTACTACAATTGTAAGAATAAAACATATTGAATGTGTTTGTATTATGTAAAATTAGTGAACTAAACACTCCATATTTTTGTTTCATCCTAAAGACTCTCAGAGTATTCTATAACCTTTATTTACATGAATAACTCAACCAGCTCTTTCAAAAGCTTCAGGAGGTAGCCAAATTAATCTGTTACAGGAAAAACTTAAAAAACAAAACCAGCTCTGTAAAGACTTCTCTGCAGCAGAACTGCTTAACATCACCACAATTTTAAAGAGCTGAGGACACATGATGAGAAGTTAAGAAAGAGTTATTCACCTTGTGCAGTAACGGTAGTTCTTCGAGAGGTGTGGCCCTCTGGGTGCTACACTCTGGGTGCTGGTGCATCCTTGCACTGGGGACCAGAGACTTTTCCAGCAGCTTCTACCTACATGCACTGTGGTGCCCCCTTGTGCCGTTGAAGTCTGTTAGACATGCACATGGCCCCTCCATTCCTTGTCTACTCATTAGAGCATGGGGCTCCAAAGCAGGGGAAGGAGGGAAAGTAGTGGAGCACCCACGGGAACACAAATCTCGAAGAACTACCATTACTGCACAAAGTGAGTAACTCTTTCCTCTCCTTCGAGTGGTGTCCACGTAGGTGCTCCACTCTGGGTGACTACACAGCAGTTGTCAGCCTGTGGAGGTGGGTTTGGAGCCCCGTGTTAGTCACTACGGATGGTACTGCTTGTCCCACTGCCCTGAAAGATGCGATTGAAGAGGAGAGAGCATAATGTGCGAATGTATAGCCAGATGACCAGGTGGCAGTATTACAAATGTCCTGGAGAGGAACATTGCTGAGAAAGGCTGTTGTGGAAGACATCGCCCTGGTGGAATGTGCTGTGATGGTTTCAAGTAAGTTTTATCAGAGTGTATAGCATGTATGAACACAGGAGAAGACTCATTTTGACATCTACTGAGGTGAGTTTGCTTGTCCCCTGGATCGTTCTGCATAGGACAGAAACATTACGCTCGCCAGGCACTGGTGCTGTCAATATAAAATGCAAGTGCCCTGCGGACATCAAGAGTGTGCCATGCAGCATGCACCGGATCGGCGTGCAGCTTAGGGAAAAAGGTAGGTAAGTATATGGGTTCATTGACGTGGAAGGGGGAAGGTATTTTGGGGAGGAACTTCAGGTGGGATCGAAGTGCAACTCTGTCTTTGGTGAACACTGTGTATGGGGTTCAGCCATTAATGCGGCGAGCTCACTCACCCTCCTACTAGAAGTTATTGCAACTAGGAAGGACATCTTCATTGATCGATGTGACCAAGAGCAGGTCGCTAGTGGTTCAAAGGGTGGTTTTGTCAAGCTCTTGAGTACTTGGTTCAGATCCCAGACTGGAACTGGTGGACGGACGGGTGGGAAAGTGTTCTGTAGACCCTTAAGGAACCTCTTGGTTATCGGGTTTGCGAGGAAGGAAACCCCCTGTTTGGTGCGATGAAACACTGCTATTGCAGCTGCGTGTACTTTAATGATGCTAAGAGCAAGGCCTGACTGTTTCAGGCATAAAAAGTAGTCCAACAGGATGGGGAGGGGGTCGGATTCTACGGTTGTCGTATGTGAGCACTTGCACCAGTGAGAAAATCTGTTCCATTTATAGAGGTATGTTCTCTTGGTGGATTGTCTTCTACTGTTGATCAGTATTTCTTTCACTGTTTCTGAACAGTTGTTTACAGCAGCCTGGAGCCATGAAGGAGCCAGGTGTGGAGATGAAGCTTGTGGCATTCTGGATGGATATTCCTCCCGTGATTCTGCGATAAAAGGTTATGATGGAGTGGGAAGGCATACGGATCTACCGTTTTCATGTTGTGAAGGTAAGGATACCAAGTCTGTCTGGGCTATGCTGGTGCCACTAGTATAACTCAAGCCTGAGCTGTCCTGATCTTGTTGAGAACCTTGTGTAGAAGAGGAAAAGGAGGGAAAGCATAAAGGAGAGGAGCATCCCACCTGATAGAAAAGGTGTCCCCGAGGAAGTGTTTCCCTGCTCTGGAGCAACAGAGGGGACATATCCTGTTGTTTCTTGTGGCAAAGAGGTCTATGTCTGGTTGGCCCCACAGGTAAAAGACTAGATCAAATGCATGCTTCTCTATTTCCCATTCGTGCTGGTCGTGGAACGTGCGGCTTAGCGCATCCAATGTGAGGTTGAATACTCCAGGAAGGTGGGAGGTTACCGGGGTGACCTGATGTATCAGGCACCAGATCCATAATTTGATGGCTTCCATGCAAAAGGATGGGGATCATGCACCTCCCTGTCAATTTATATAGTACATGCAGGTGGTGTTGTCTGTCATTATAGTAATGGACCTGCGAGCTATGTAAGGTTGGATGTGTTGATATGCATATCTGACTGCTCGTAATTCGAGGAGGTTGATATGAAAGTTTGTTCCATAAAGGACCATTTGCCTTAAGCTGTGATAGTCCCTAAATGGGCTCCCCAACCCATGAGCGATGTGTAGGTCATCATTGTAAGTGTGGGGGAAGGCCGCTGGAATGGTACGCCATCTAGCATGCTTTGTGAGTTTGTTCACCATTGTAGGGAATTGACGCATGGTGGGATAGTAACTAGTTTGGAAAGTTGATCCCTGAAGGGCTTGTAGGTTATGGCCAACCATGACTGTAGGCCCCTCATGCAGAGTCTGGCCAACTTGATGACATATGTTGTAGAAGCCATATGCCCGAGGATTTTGAGGCAGTCGCGTACCGTCATGGTCAGAGCTGATTGTGTACTTGTGATATGATCGTGTATGGTATTGAATCTGCGTTCAGGCAGAGTAGCCTTTGCTGCTACCATGTCAGGATGAGGGCCCCTATAAACTCTAACTTCTGGGTTGGGTATAGTGTGCATTTTGTATGGTTTATATGGAAGCCGATGTTGACCAGAGAGTCCATGGTAGTGTTGATCATGGCCTTTGTTTCCTGAAAGGACGACCCTTTTATGAGGCAGTAGTGTAGATATGGAAATATCTGACTCCTTGATGCCATAGTGAGGCCATCACGACTGCCAGAGTTTTGGAAAATTCCCTGGGGGCAGTTGAGAGGCCAAAGGGGAGCATTCGATACTGGTAGTGTTGGGTGCTCACCATGAATCGGAAGAAGCATCTGTATGCAGGATGGATTGTGTTGTGCAAGTAGGCATCCTGGAGGTCAAGAGCCAAAAGCCAGTCCCCTTGATCCAATGTGGGAATAATTGTTGCTAGGGTTACCATCCTGAAGCGGTGGTAAGCGATGTATTTGTTGAGTGTCCTTAGATACAATATAGGTCACCACACTCCACTCTTTTTCTGGGTTAGGAAGTTAGTTAAGTAAAACCCCTGACCATGGAATTCTGCTGGTACCTGTTCTATGGCATCCAACTGTAGTAGATGAGAGACTTCTTGTGAGATGGGTTCCTGAAGAGTGATGGGGTGGGAGGGAGGCAAGGAGGTGAAGGGGATGGCATAACCATGTTGGATACAGTCTAGGACCAGTTTGTCTAATGTGATTTGGGTCCACTGATGGAAAAAAGCTCGGAGACGATGGTTGAACTGAGGATGACTGGGCGCAAGTGGTATTGAGGTGATTTTCTGGCTCTCGACATATTTTTCCAATTTGGCTATGGGTGGATGGGTCATAGAGGAATTTTGTGTCTGCTGGTGTTGGGGTCTGCGATGTTGTGGCCTTTGTTTTTGGCGGAGATCGTATCTGGATTGTTGTCTATATGGCTCCCTGGGTCTCTAGTAGGTTGAGTACCTCGTTCTCTTAAAGGGGGGAATGTACATAAGAACAGCTAGCCCAGTAGCCTGTCTGCCGACAGTGGCCAGCACCAGGTGCCTCAGAGAGGGTGGACTGAAGACAATGATCAAGCGATTTGTCTCCTGCCATCCTTCTCCAGCCTCTGACAAACAGAGGCCACTGGGAGTGTACATTCCCAGGGTCCTGAGAGTGGTGCGGGAGTCCTTCATGAAATGTAATATCTCGTCTGTCTTAGCAGCGAAGAGGTTGGTCTTGCTGATGGGCAGATCTTCAACCTTCTGTTGTAAATCTCTTGGGACTCCAGATGCCTGCAACCTTGAAATTCTGTCCAGTACATGGCAGATGCGGTTATACAGGCCACAGTGACTGCTACGTCCATTGCACACTGTAGGGCTGTACAGGAAATGGTGTTGCCTTCCTCCATGATGCAAAGGAGAGTTGATCTCTTGTGTTCTGGTAAGTGCTGAATTAGGTCTTGCAGCTTGCAATAGTTGGCATGGTCGTAATCCGCGAGCATTACCATATAGTTTGCTGCTCTAAGGAGCAGGGTGGCAGAGGAATAGACTTTACAACCCATGATGTCGACTTTTTTATGGTCTCTGTCTTGTGGAATAGTCCTAAGATTAGGTTGTCTTCCCTTATGTCAAATGGAGTCTATCACTAATGAGTTTGGTAGGGGTTGGGTAAAGAGGAAACCTATTGTTTTTGGCGCAATGAAGTACTTGCAGTCTGCCCTTTTATTAGTTAGGGTAATGGATGCAGGAGTATGCCAGATATTAACTGCTGGGTCCATAATAGCTTTGTCCATGGGGAGTGCTATTCGGGAGGTAGTGGGAGGCTGTAGTGTGCATAAGAGCCGGTATTGCTTCTCTTGTGCCTCCCGTAGATCTCGTTCTTGCGCCAAGACCACCCTATAGAAGAGGTCTTGGAATTTCTTTGAGTCGTTGCCAGATGGCGGGGTTTCAGCCATAACTGCCTCATCGGGTGAGGTTGAGGAGTTGTGCAAAGGGGATCTGTCTTCCTCTTCTGAGAGAGAGTCCTGTATCTTGGAGTGAGTAGGAGAATTGGGCTCAGTTACCAAGGTGGTAATTGGAGGAGAAGCCAATGGTGGTCTGGAGATGGTAGAGGGGGCACGATGGTGGCGTGGATCCCATGGCTGCCATTGAGTGGTATATGGCGGTGGTGAGTAGCCATACTGCTGTGCATACCATGTGTATGCCTCAGAGCTGGGCTGCCAAGAGGTAGGTCTGTAAGCAGGACTGAAGTGTTGGGAAGAAAATCTACTCCTTGATTCCGTGCCCACCTTGCTCGGAGATCGTGAGATGTTTGATGATCTGCATGAGTGCACCAACTAGATGGAGGATCCCGGTTAGATCGGTGCTGTTGGCATGCAGCTCTTTACTGGGGATCGATAGTGCGCACGTTCTTGAGATGGTGTCGCGGTGTGCGGTTTACTCGGTGCCAATGTTGCCCCCAGTACTGAGTGATCCGGTGGAGGCATGTTGGTGCGGGGCTTCTTTTGCACGGATGTCGGTGCCATTTGAGCCTGTTGTCTCGGTGCCGAGCAATCTCTACATTGGTGAAGCCCGTGCCATTGGTGCTGGTGGTGCAGATGGTCTCTGTTTCGGCTCCAAGTGGGCTCTCTTGTGCGATACCAGCATCTTGGATGGTGCCGTTCAGACATGCTGGGCCTATCCACAGTGCTGACCCTTGCAGTCATCATTACCGATGGTAGCGAATGAGCTGGAGAAAGACTCATTTTCGATACCATAAGGCCAGAGGGGGCAGAAGAATGAGATTTATCCATACCCTTGCTCTGGGAGGCCAGTTTTGGAACTGCTGGTGCGTCCTCTGACGGTGGTTGAAGCGACTTCTCGTAGAGGAGAGTTTTCAGTCTGTTCACTCGATCATGGCACGGTCTAGCCGTGAGTTTCGAGCAGTGGGGGCACTTTTGTGTCTGATGTAACTCCCCCAGGCACTTTATACACTTAGAATGCCCGTCGGAAATGGGCATAGCATCCCAGCATGTCTCGCACGTTTTAAAGCCGGGAGATCCCGGCATGAGTCATGGGGGAAAGGTGACAAGCTGCAAGAAATTTTTTTTTTTTTAAACTTTTGAATGCGGAGGATTGGTAGGGGTAAAATAATTTGGATACTGAGGTAACTAATGGGATTAACTGGGTTTTTGATGGTTTTGTTTGACAGAGGTTGAGAGGAAAAGAGGCTCCGTCTGCTGCTAAGGACGGTAGGCGCGAGGATGCACTAGCACCCAGAGTGGAGCACCCACGGGGACATCACTCAAAGGAGAACCACTGTACTGAAACGGCAGGAGCTGCACCTGCTAAAGGGAGTTTTAATCTTATGGTTTGGGGAAACTGTACCTGCAGGACAGCAAATTATTCAGGCAACGCTTAAACCAGTAACAACGAAATAAATTCCGTGAGTGAGGGTTTGGGGGGAGGGGGAATTTGCAGGCTGAGGAAATAGGGTTGCAGTGACCTGGGGCTGAAGCAAAGGGTGGGGAATATGGGGAGATCAGAGGCACTGGGGGTTCAGGTGAGGGAGTTGGATATCGGGAGGGGTAATATGATAATGGCAAGGGAGGGGCAGGAGTATCGTTCTTCTAATAAGTGCTCTGGGATTGGGAGGTTCTGGGCTTTGGGGGTGTCTGAGGCATTTCATCTAAAAGATAGCACTGCTGGCAGGAATGGTGTAACACCATTGCCTGTTAGCATCATACCAAGGCAATGGCTTAAGAGTGATTCAGAGTAAGGGTTGTCATGTAACAAACTGCCAACATCACTTCCTCCAGCATCCTACTTTTATTTTGGAGGGGTCTCTCGTGAGATTTACAGAGATCAAAATCTGAGTTATTATGACTGAATACTAAGATCACTTCAGTAATTCTAATGGAATTATGCTAATGGAGCGCTTTATTGAGAGTATCAGAGGGGTAGCCGTGTTAGTCTGAATCTGCAAAAGCGATGAGGAGTCCTGTGGCACCTTATAGACTAACTGAAGTGTAGGAGCATAAGCTTTCGAGGGCAAAGACCCACTTCGTCAGATGCATGTAGTGGAAATTTCCAGAGGCAGGAATAAATATGCAGGCCAGGATCAGGCTGGAGATGACCAGGTGGATCCAATCAAGGAGTAAGTGACGGTCATATCAATACCACCCTATACAGAAAACCTACCGACCGCTATACTTATCTGCATGCCTCCAGTTTCCATCCCGGACACACCACACGATCCATTGTTTACAGCCAAGCACTGAGGTACAACCGCATATGCTCCAACCCCTCAGACAGAGACCTACACCTACAAGACCTTCAACAAGCATTCTGTAAACTGCGATACCCACACGAGGAAGTGAGGAGACAGATTGACAGAGCCAGACGTGTACCCAGAAGCCTCCTGCTACGGGACAAGCCCAAGAAAGAAACCAACAGAACACCACTGGCCATCACCTACAGTCCCCAGCTAAAACCTCTCCAACGCATCATTAGTGATCTTCAACCCATCCTGGACAATGATCCCTCGCTTTCACAGGCCTTGGGAGGTAGGCCGGTCCTTGCCCACAGACAACCCGCCAACCTGAAGCATATTCTCACCAGCAACTACACACCGCACCATAATAACTCGAACTCAGGAACCAATCCTTGCAACAAACCTCGGTGCCAACTCTGCCCACATATATACACCAGCAACACCATCACAGGACCTAACCAGATCAGCCATACTGTCACTGGTACATTCTCCTGCACATCCACCAACGTAATATATGCCATTTTCCTGGTATGCTAAGGAATGGGTTCTCTATTTAATTCTTTTCAAATCACATTGAAAAGGAGTTTTCTGCTTCTTGCTGTGGTTTCTGAGTGGATCCAAGAGCAACACACCCAAAACAAGCTGCAACTCTTTTACCACCTCTTTCTGTCCATCTGCCTCTAAAGTTTCATCTTTGTTCCTGTTGTCACTGGTTCATACACTCTCACAGATCCTGGGGAAGAATATTAACATAAGCTTCCCTTTCATTTGTGCACAGGTAAGGTAACTATCTCACTGAATTAGACATGAATTGCATTTGACCATCGACAAAGCAGTGAACCTGACTATACACCAATTGCTGTCAAACACACAAAAACAAATAGGTGAAGACAAATACATTCTTCCTCTAACTTATCAATATAAATGGAAGTTTGACTTTTGATTTGATGTTGCCTGTACAACAATGACCACGTTTGAGGAACTGTGGTTTAATTTGCGCATTTCTATTTATGCAAACTATATAGTATCACCAGTACGTACTCACTTCTAGATAAAAATCCTACAATTTAACAAGCAGCAACAGAAAACAGAATTTGAAGCATTTTGCTTTTGCTCAGCTATGATCATTTCTAGCACAAAACCCTTACTGCTCTGGCACAGTCCATAAATAAAAGATGAAAGCCCCTGAATAGCTCTGTTAATTCTAATCCACTGAATAAAAGTTACCTCAGTAAGGGCTGAAGGACTTCATGGGATGACTGATCTTCCCGTTTGTGAATAAAAATAGAAAGTTTGCCATCCACTGCCTCACTCTCTTCTCCAGGGTCTTTATCTCCTTTTATGGAATTTTTGGGGCTGGTTTTTGCCAGAGTGATATCTGGTTCAGAAGCAGTTGGAGACAGAACTGTCTGACAACCTTTGAGCAGAAAGGAAAAAGAACAAAGTCAGATACTTTAAATGACTGGTTTGAAATCAGTTTCCATAACTCATTTGTCTGGCTTTAAAAGCATTTCCTTTAGATTTATCTGAGCTTTCTTTCATGTGTCTACAATAATCATCTTATTCAGAAAACGGAACTATTCTGAACAATCAGAATACAAGTGTTATAGAAACAGGTCTAATACTAGATATTTGAACTCATATTGCTGTTAAGATTTTGGCAAGATAATCATCTGAATGCTAGCATTTAGGAGACATTTATCCTTAGTAAACTTTTTGCTAATCTCTTACACAATCATGCATTATTTCTCAAGCTCATACAACATTTATTACATGTAATAAGAACAAATATTTAGACATGAGAAACTGTTAAGCACCTGGCACTACATAATCTGCCAGTTTTGCTAACAGCAGTGATGCAATCTTGGAGGCGGGGTCACTGGGGTCATCTTGTTCACTGTTCAAGGAAGGCACAGAGTAACTCCATGGGGGCAGTTCAACATTTCCACAGTCTTCTACACTCATGAGAGGAAGAGCAGCACGGCACAGCTGGAGGATTATAAGGACGAGTTTTGGAGAGGGGCGTTGGTCCAAAAGCAGTGAGAGAAGTTTGGACACACAGGCTGGCTGGCTCAGGATAGCTTTACCTATGTGACTCCTGAAAGAAAAGAACATAGTCATCTCTCTGACTGCAAAACAGGAAAGTTAAATTATTCTCTTGAAATCAAATATAAACTACATGATGACAGGTTTCACAGGTAGCTGTATTAGTCTGTTTCAGCAAAAACAACCAGGAGCCCAATGGCACCTTGAAGACTTATGATTAAGTCTGATGAAGTGCATTACAACTCACAAAAACTACAAGATGACATTCTTGCCACTGGTAAAAGGATCTTTATAGTGATACATGATTACATTATTAAAGCCCTTACATAAAAATTAAGTCATGATCAATTTCAAATGCAAGAGAAATACCCCATTATTTATCTCTGCTGTCTCAAGCCTCTTACACAACTCCCATAAAATGTTTGTCTATTTCCCACATAATCCCTCATAAAACAGCTCTTCAAGATTGTTCCGTTATTTGAAATTTTATCACAAATTTTAGAGCAAAACAATTCAAATGTTGCTATTTAGTCTCATTAATCCTCCAGCTCAAAAAAATCCAAGAAAGCTTCTCTAGACACCAAAGTTTATAAGCATAAGCACAACTGTGAATACTGTGATATTCAGTTCCACTAATCTCTTTTGTAACACGTAAGTACTGTATTATTTCAGTATATACTACACAGCCCCGGGCAAATACAAAACAGTTATTTAACAGTGGTATTACTGCAGCTGTATGTCACGTTTCATCAACAAAAAGATTCCATATGCTGTAAGATGCCAAAAACACTTTGCAAAACTGCAGTTTTTATATTCAATCTTGCAGTTGTTCCCAGTGTACAACTCCTATTGAGGTAATAAAAACCAGGACCACAGAGTCAGGTTTAAAATGATATTATACTGAATGGTTGCATTCTTACTGAATAAACCATTTGCTTGGTTGCAGCATATATCTTAAAAACATGCAGGAATGTGACAAAAGTAAGTTAATGTTGTTAGACAAGAACTGTGCCGTGACAAATATAGTTTTTGATTTTTGAAAGTAATGATGGACATCTACACATCTGCACCCACTGTCAGTAAGTTATTAATCCTAAAATTTATCATAAATGTGTTTATACTGCACGTCACATTTCTAAATAACTTTAAGCTTTTGGAATAGTATTGAAAGAGGTGTCATTATCTTTACTATTTCCATTAGATGGAGAGTAAGCCATTAAAAAATGACTATCAAAATTCTTCCAATACCTTGACAAGTCATTAAGAAGGCTAAGTACATCTTGCAGTGCATCATTTCCAGCAGCCTGGTTACCACAACATTCTGTGGCTCGTGCCAGGTGATTGGTGAGAAGACTGGAGACCTGTCGAGCCAGACCAGAATGAACAGCTTCCGTTGACCCACCTTCAAAAGTAATGCAAAAATATACAAATGTAATTGTGTACATGATAAAAAAGTATATTGGAAAAAACCTAAACACATTTATTTAAAGTACAAGTTTTGCTTATAGATATAATTGAGTTACAATCGAACTTGCAATAACAGCTCACAGATAGCAAATCGACAGGGAGTCTTATGATACAGAGTAGTTGAACATACTATTCTATTTATGTGGATAATATTTAAGTGGGTATTTTTCCCACCAATGTAATTTTGCTAACCCAGACTCCAGAAATTTCTGAGGGGTATAAACACAGAAGTGCTGGTTTTCTATGAATATAGGAACACGAGAGTCAAAAGAACTTTTTCAAGTTTGCCAGCAGCCTGTCAGATTAAAAAATCCTGAAAGAGAAAATTACTCCCCTGGAGTTGTTACATCAAGGAAGAATTCGAGCCATTACATTTACAGTTGATTAAACCTGAGACTAAGTCACCTAAGTCTCTCCCTCTCAAAAAATTCTATAATGAAAAACTTCTCTTGATTCGTTTAAAACTACTACCTTCCCATTCGTTTTAAAATCCCATCTCAATAGTAATTTTATCATCTAGCTCTAAGACAACATTTTTCATCAATGAATTTCAAAGCATTTCATAAGTTACTATATATTTAGACACACACACACACACACACACACACACACACACACACACACACACACACACAAACCTCCCTTCAGGCAGTTGAAGGCTGCTATCAAATCCCCCCTTCTCTAGTTTCAAAATGCATATACTATTTCTTCTCATACAGTCAACTCAATGTCTAGCAGCGATTTTAAAATACACAATACAGAATATCAACATTGCTCTTACCCTCTTCTTTTTCCCATTCAACACAGCGATTGGCTAGAACCTGGAAGGCAGCCCAAGCCATTGTAGCCACTTTCTGTTTCTTAGTCTGTTTTTCATTTGAGCTGGATTCTGTCTGGCTGCTTAAACTACAGAGTCTGTCCATAAGCTGTACCAGGCCACTGCGTACCAGGCACTTCTCCTCACTCCTGTTCAGAAGAATAATGAATTCAGGTTGCACTGTAATAACCTCTCAACTATTTTTCACTTACACAAGCTATCCCACATTTCTCTGCTTCTGTACTGTATCCATTTATCATTTCTTGCATTGGACAATTCAATGTTTCCTCCATTACTTTATCCTTAGAGAGGACAAAATGCAACAGGATATTCTCCAAGTTTGTCATCCAGAATTATTCCTAAATGTCATGATACCAAGCTGTTCCTAATAGATTAAATGCTACATAAATAGTTATCAAATTTATATGCGGTCTACAGGGCATTATTTTAAATTATGCCACCTGCTAAAAATGGAAGACACAATCTTCTTTCTTTCTTATCTCACATCATTAATAACAGTAATATTTTACATTTGTTTAGAGCTTTATAGATTCATAATGCACTCACGCCCAAAGCATCCCAAGACACAGTTTGGTTGGTTCTATGCTTACTTCAGGTAAACTATGAAAGCTGAAGTGTCTTGCTCAGTGCTACAGAACAAATCAGTGGCAGAGGCAAGACTTGGCTCTGCCTGTGCCCAAACCTGTGTGTCTATTCCTCAGCAATACACTGTCAGGAGTTATTACAGGGTGATTTCAAAACCAGGATGCTAAGTGCAGGGAAAACTTCATCAGCATAGGAAAAATGGATGTGTGTATGAGAGAGAAAGGGAATGAGTGAGAAAGAGAGAGAAACAGTGTAAGAAAATGGTTCATAATCCACCCTCAGCCACACAAAACACTTGTGCTAATAGTACTGAATTGTGTACATATCTCAGAGTTGATCCAATAAGTTCAGACTTTCTAAAATGCCATTTACAGGGTCAGAGGACTGAAAAAAAGGAGGTATATCCCAATCTACATAAAACTTCCTTTTGAAGCAACACTTAACTACATGGCACAACTATATCAAAATTATTGAACCATTCTTTTCTCTCTCTCTTTGAAGCAAAATGTTTCCTACCTTGTATATGGTATAGTACATAAGAGGCCAATGCTATTTGCACAAGCAATGGGGTAACGAGCACACAATGAAACCACTGAGGTCATGGTCTCTCCAAAGGCTTCTTGGACTTGTTCCACCATCCCACCACACGTGAGTTCTTCAATTCTGTGGGAAATTTTACATTTTAAATTGTGTCTTTCTGCACCGAGAACAATTAAAAGTTTCCAAACATAGCTACAGGAAATCACCATCATTTGAAAGAAATTATGAAAGTTTTAGACACAAAAGTTCTATACCAGATTTATATAAAATGTAAGAAATTCTTAGTGCTACAAAATATGGTCTTCTTGCTCTACTCCTCAAAATAAATATAAAATAATGCATGCATAATCACCTTTCTGCCTATAGACTTGACTGAGAAACTGGTTCCAGACATTAAACAAAATATTTACATTTCTTTTTACAGTTAAAAATGTTTTGATACAGCTGCCACAATGTTGTTACCTTATACCATAAAATCCACTCTTTCAGATCTTACTGATTCATTTTATTGTGTGTTTTGATTTAAAATCACACACATAAAAGAATCTCTCATGTGCTCTTGCCTTTAGATCAAAATACATTATACAACTGTTAAGAACCAAAACACCTAAATATTTTACTTCCGTAGCCCTGCACACTAGGGATGTGAAAGGTTAACCCATAATCATTATCCTTAGTGGGTGATGCTTACTGGTTCTGGTTTACTGTTGGGGGGTGGAGCAGCTACCCACCTGCCATGGGCAGGAAGCTGGGGTAACTCCTAGACCTGGCACGAGCCAGGACTGAGCCGGCCTTACTCAGTCCTGGCTCATTCTGGGTCTAGCAGCCCCTGTCCACAGGGGGTCCCAACTTCCCTCCAGGACCCCACACAGAAAGGGGCTGCTCCTGGAGCAGCCTTCTCTGCCTGCACTGCTGCCTCCCCCCACCCCCAGCCTCTGATATAGAGGCAGTAAGGGAGGGGGGAAATGCAAGTAGTCAATTCAACTACTTGATAAGGCTAGGCTTATCGGATAGTCGACTAATCGATTACTCTTTTACATTCTTATCCAGAGCTGCCCCTGTCACCAGTGGTCTGCATTTGTTACCCCTACCCCTTGATTGGTTAACCAGTCAAATTTCGCATTTGCATCCCTATTGCACACAGCCACTATGCAGCTAAAACAACATAAACGAAATCTAAGTCTCTGTTCATCAGTGTTTCAATTTTTTCCATCCATGTGCAGAATAAATTTTATGTGCACTGAGGAATGTGTGCATGTGCGCCATCAGTAGAAACACATGTTGCTGGCTGTGGGCACTGTGCTAATCAGCTGGGTGATATCTGAATCTCTCCTGGGTGGAGGCCCAAGTGCTCAACTTACAGGGAACACTGCTACTCTCTCAAGTCTTCTAGGTCAGCAGTTCTCAACTACTGGGTCATTGGCCAAAAGTGACTAAGAGACGGCAGCAGATACAATGGTGTTAAGGTTACAATTCCTACTTCTTTCTCTGTCTTTAGTCATCTAGTGAGATGAATTTGCTTAAATCACTTACAATTAACCCTGAACTAGTAGCGTCCCATAAGACTTTATCAAACCTGCATGTTCTGACAAGCTATAGGACCATAATGTCCAACCAGTTCTGAAGCAGTAGTCACTCTACTAGCCACACTCAACCAGCAAAATAATCACATTGTTCAAACCAACTAGCCACACTCAACCAGACAAATAGCTAGATGTGGCTAGTGGCTAGCATGTTGGACACCACAGCTATAGGACCTAGCAATTCTTTTGAAGCACTGTGGGAAATATTAAAAGGTATTCCAAGAAATCTGAAAATTCATGCCCTGGCAAGGTAAGAAAGTTATTTCTTTAGCTGCTGTTCGTATAATGCAGTACACCTCCTTGCATAAAGCACACCACTTAGTCCCGAGTTTAACAAAGTTGTGATTAACAACTTACCTTGGTCCTCCTTGAAGTACCATAGTCACTGGACCCACAAGATGTGTAACACCACCAACCCGAACAGCTGCTGTTAGGAGCTCTCTCATATGCACGAGTGCCTGTTTCCTTGTATTCCCACGGCGCCATCGGGTCTGAGCAGCTAATAGAAAACTGCTACTGGATACCTAATAAAGAATTGTCGGTTTTACTACATATGCCCCATTCTGTACCAAATTTAAAATGGATGTTACATTTGTGCTTGAGTACATACGGAGTTAGCAGGTTGAACATGACATACCGCTTGGTCAGGATTTGTCCCAATGAAAGCAAACAGCTGCCCTAACAAGACACTGTATGTAGGTTTATCTCTGCTATCTTCAATGGTCAAAGACTGAAGAAGAGTAAAAGAGCTACTTCTATGACTAGTGACATGGCGCCGCCTATGGGAAAACAACACTTATTAGAGAATTTAAAAATGGGTTGATCTATGAAAAATTTTCTTCTAAAACCAGGGTATGTTAGTAACAGAAATACAGAATATACTGTTAGGTGTTTCATACAGCAATTCAGTGGACCAGCATCCATACCTCTGAGTAGATCTAGTGAACTCCAAATCTTCATTTCCAATCATTTCTAGGTCAGAAGGTGCTGACATGCTCCGAAGAAAGACAGGCTGACGGACAGCATGAGATATCACTTTCGTTTCAGATGCTGACTTACAAGCTGCAATGTAATAAAACAATGTTTTGTCACTGCTGGTTTCTGCATTTCATTTTTATAGCAAGTTTCCATAGTAAGGTAACCTCTGACAAAAAAAAAGTATTGTAGATAAGCTATCCATCTTCTTAAACCCGTCTCTTTACTACATCCAGTAATAGCCTTATAATTAAATATTTACTTATAATGTGAGATGGCAGAATGTGGAATTATTTATCAATTGGAAAGGAGAGGGATCAGAGGTCATTTAGCACTAATTACTATATTTTTAAAATTAAGCTATATAACTGAGAAATTTAAAAGACTAACAGCCTATGTTTGAAATATAATTGTTATTAATGTTGCACATTCCCCTGATTGGTTCTGAAATTAGTCAAATAACTCTATTCACAGAGCTATGCTGGTAAAATGACAACACTGATATGAAAATCGTAAAGAGGGACATATAAGTTCAATGCCCCTAAAAACAAATTCACTGCTTGTTAAATGGAAAAGGAATAATAAGTAGGGAAATGTGATTTTAAGGGCTATTACAAGTGATTAATTATGGGTAGGTCCTCCGAGAGGGGGTAGGAGCAAAGAGAGCAATTGTCCCAGGGCCTGGAGACTTAACCAACAGGCCCCAAGGCCCCCAGCCACTGCCACAGTAGCAGTGGTGGCAGCGAGAGCCACAGGCCCTTTAAATTGCTGCTGGTGCACTGGGCTGAGCGCTCTGGGCAGCACAAAGGGCTGGCTGGGGAGAGGGCCTCTTCCACCCTTTGTGTTGCCCCTTCCAAGAGTGCAGTGCTGCACCCCCCTTGCCCAGCGGTCCATGGAGGCTGTTGCTCTGCTGATTACAGGTGTCAATTATATTAATAGCAAACATTCAGGTGTAATAATCCAATGCACTGTAAACTGGTACCTGGGGTCTCAGCAGGGGTACCGGATATACTTCTTGTGAGACCAGCTTGCGCTGCAATAGTAACATGCAATAGTAGCTCTGCTCTATTCATCAAGCTCTTTACCAATGCTTTTGTTTTAGCCAAGGGATGCGAGGACTTCTGAATCAGAGAATTGACTTCTTGAAAAAATTTCTCCCTAAAATGGTGAATGAAAAATTTGTTCTTCATTCCTTCTGACATAACTGGTAAAATTTTAATGATGTCCATCTTATAATCTCTTACTTATTGTTTTTGAGTTAAGAAACAAATTGAACACAGCAAAACCAGGGTTCTTCTTCCTCCCTTCCCTTTACATATCTGTAAATAGTTAACTGTATTTATGTCTCCAGTATTTCAAATTTTGATGAACTTGGATGATCCCCAAAATGATCCTCTTTATGCAGTTACCAGCAATGTGGAGAGGCCTTTCAATTCTATTGTCAATACAATCTAGTCAAGGCTTCTGTTCCACTTTGTAAGTAAAAATCACCGAGAAGTTGAATGCAAGACTTAGATCTTGATTTGAAAAGATGCTTAACCACATGCATAACTTCAAACCTGTGGGTAGTCTCCTTTAACTTAGTAAAGCCATGTCTACACTACGAAATCAGGTTGAATTTATTGAAGTTGATTTTTAGCACCTGATTTTGTAAAGCTGAAGATGCATGCCCCCACTTTGTGCAAGAATTCAACGTAGTTTAAAGTAGCACATTCCTAGTAGAGTGGCTACCATCAACTTTGAGAGTGATGCTCTGTGGGTAGCAAACTGGGGCCAAAACTGAACAACAGGTGCTTCTGGATACATGCAGTCAGCATCCCATAATGTACGTGTCTCCTTCCTCTTCCGCTGCTTGAAAGCAACAGCAATCAGTCTTTTCATGCCTTTCCCCCCCCCCTGGTTTTCTGTGCAGATGCCATAGCATGGTAAGCATGGAACGCATCCCTGAATCTATTCAGCAGCAAAGTGTGATGGTAATCATATTAACCACAGTGTGCCTTAGGCTGGAGTATATCCAGAGTGTATCTAGGGTCCGCTGGAACAAGGTTCAAAACAAACAAAAGAAACTTTTTCTTCACTCAGCACATAGTCAATCTGTGGAACTCCTTGCCATAGGATGTTCTGAAGACTAGGACTTTAATAGAAAAACGAGCTAGATAGATTCATGGAGGTTAGATCCATCAATGGCTATTAGCCAGGATGGGTAGGAATGGTGTCCCTAGCTTCTATTTGTCTGGAAACGGGTGACAGGAGAGGGATCACGAGGATTACCTGTTGTGTTCCTTCTCTCTGGGCATCTGGAATTGGCCACTGTCAGCACATAGGATACTGGGGTAGATGGACCTTTGGTCTGACCCAGTATGGCCATTCTTATGTTCTAATGAGGATGAATCTCAGGAGGCCATGAACATACTCTTCTGCAAAGCACTTGAGTTGAGCAACTTGCAGATACTGCCGACATTTGATTGTCTGGATACACAGAACATCAATTCTGGTGCTGTGAGACAAGTGCAGAGTGGTGGGACTGCATGCAGTTATGGGACAACCAGCAGTGGCTGCAAAACTTTCACATGCGTACGGCTACTTTCGTGGAAGTATGCAGACTGCTTTCTCCCAGCCTGAAGTGCAAGAATACCAGAATGAGACCTGTTCTGGCACTGGAGAAGTGAGTGGCAGTAGAGCCTGTGGAGGCTTGCAGTACCAGATGAGCTAATGGTGAACTGCAAATCAATTTGGACTGGGAAATCTACAGTGGGGTTATTGTGATCCAAGGCACTCAATACCCTGCTGCTACGTAGGGTAGTGACACTGGGGAACGTTGATACCATAGTGGATGGTTCTGCTGCAGTGGGGTTCCTTACATGTGGGGGGAGGAGGAGGGGAGGGAGGGTGATAGAATGCACATCCCTATCTTGGCACCTGACCATCTTGCCAAAGAGTACATAAACCACACAGGGTACTTCTTGAGGGTGCTGCTGGTGGATTACAAGGGCTGTTTCACCGACATCAGTGTGGGATGGTCAGGAAAGGCGTATGACACACGCATCTTTCGGAACTCCTGCCTCTTCACCAAGCTGCACGCTGGAACTTTCTTCCCAGACCAAAAAAATTAACATCAGAGACATTAAAATGCCAATATAATCCTTGAAGACCCAGCTACCCCTTGCTCCTGTGGCTCATGAAGCCATGCATAGTCAGCCTGGACTGGTATAAGAAGCAGCTCAACTAAAGGCTGAGCAAGTGCAGAACAGTGGTAGAATGTGCTTTGGGCATTTAAAGTGAATATTTCACAGTCTACTGACTAGGATGGATCTCAGTAAAACCAGCATTCCTATCATTGTGGCAGCTTGTGATATGCTCCATAATATTTGTGAGAGTCAGGGGGAAAGTTTTATGCCAGGGTGGGGGAACTAAGCACAGCATCTAGCCAATAATTATGAGAAGCTAGACACCAGGGCAATAAGGAGAACACAGCAAAGGGCACTGCAAATCAGAAAAGCCTTGAAAAACAGCTTTGTGAATGGCCAGATGATTTGAGAGTCACGCATATTGCTCTAAAGGTGTCACTGCATTTAGTATGCTTGCCTGTAACCTCCCCCCAAACCCTCAACACAAGCAATAAGAGACTGTTCAGAAATCATGCACTTCTATTTTAGGAATCCAGCGGGGATAGAAAAAGAGTTCAGGCTGGGAGCTTTGGGGTGTGTATTATGTGTGTTAAGACTAGTCTACAAGCATTTGTTTATCAGATAATAATGTCGACTAGTCAATTCCTCCCCTTGCTGCCTCTGTGAAATAGAGGCAGCAAAGGGGAGGTGAGAGGGGTACTTCAAAGTGACAGTGCGTTCTGGGGCTCCAAGAGATAAGGCTACGAAACTCAGTGAGGAGGAAATATGGGTCCACTAGGGCTGCAGGAGGTGCCTATGCCCATAGCAGTCCTGGAAGGCTGCCATGTGTGCCTATGCCATCACATCCATCCATGGCTCTCAAGACTCTCTCCTGGTTTTTCATTTCCAGTTCCCTGCACCCTCTCCTACCCTCATGCTCCGCTTGCATCTCCTGCAGCAGCCTATTCTCTGCTTGCTTAATCACTCCCTGTTCAAGTGGTCAGATTGCATTTGCTCCTTGAACATGCCATACCTAGTAAGTTTTTGCCTGCATATTTGTGCTAGCCAGACAGCTGGTGGAGCCAGCGGAGCATGCAGCATCGTCGCTGCTGTTCCCACTCTAATGAAAAGCGAAGGGCAGACTTTCCAGGAGATATGTTGTTGAGGGTAAAACAATCTTTTAGCATAAAGGAAGATCTGTCTAAAGACAATAGGATATGTTATGTACAAGGCCACAGCTATGCTTTTACCCCCCACTATGCAGCAGGTACACCACAGAGATCTTAGGGAAGCAGCTGGACTTGGTCTAATGGCAGGCATGGTAAGGGACAGGACAGGGCTCAAGCTGGTGGTGGCAAGGGGGTCCGGGCGTGCCCACATTGTGCCCATGTATTAGGCACCTCCCTCCACCCCCATTTACCAGGAGAGTGCAACTTTCTCTTCCCACAGAAGCATTTGGGTGGAGGGAAGAGGGGACCAGACAAGGAAGCAGGGCAGAAGCTCAAGCCATGCTTCTTGGGGGATGAGCAAATTTAGGTTTACTACAGAGGTACCAGCTAACAGCTTCCTCTGCTCCATCAAGGTTGCCATGCGTGACATCAGTCTTCTCCAAACCACAGAGTAGTAACTGAATGTGGCCAGAATCCTGGACTTTAAGCTTCAGTGCTTTGGGCTGAGATGCGCCAGACCACTTACTGCTATCTGGGTGTGGAAAGGTGTCCTACCATGGAGGACAGAATATGTCAGGCCTCCCCAGAAACCTTGTGAGAAGGATTAAAGGGTTCCTCTGTGAGAGTTTTATAGAGGTGTGCAGGGAGGTTCCCACTCTGTCTCCAAACATGTTAACAAGCTGTTCCTGTGAATCCCGACTGTGTAGGCAGATCACATCCAATTGCCTTAGCCCACTGGTAGCACAATAAAAAATGTGAACTCACAAGATGTGCCCTCCCTGGTCTCAGGGCTTTGCTACAAGTCATCTTGGGAGGGGATTATCTCCAAAGTTATAAAAAGGTCTTGGCTGTCAGTGACACTGGTTGCCCCACTTGTCTGTTGACCATTCTCATCTTCCTCTTCCTCCACACTGTCCTTCACACTGCTGCCCAAGGCTGCCTGAGGAGTATCTTGGGAGGAACCCACTAACTGGCTTAGGAAACGGGTCATGTCCCCCTTTAGGATCTCAGCAGCTGCTCACAGAAGTGGCATGTTTGAGGCAATGATCCAGAACATCTTTTTGTCCCTTTGTCTTCTGATACAACTGCATCAGCTTCTTTATTTTTATGCAGCACTGCTGGCATGTCCTTTCTCCTACATGCCCTTTGCGATCTTAGCACAGATATCAGCTTTTCTTTTGCTGCTTTGTAGTTTGGCCTGAACAGATTTATCTCCCCCCGCAGTGATGAGGTCCAAGATCCCTTGCATGCTCCATGGTGGTGATTGTCTTTGACTCTGGCAATTCATGGTCAGGTGTGCTGCTGAGCTATGCTGCCTGCTCTGAGGTCTGCTTGCCATGCTGGCCACACAGAAAATGAAAATCAAATTTTCCCTGAACTATTCCTGTTCACCTGGAGAGCGGTAGAGTTGAAAGTCCTGGCCAGAGTAGTCATAGTGGAGCACGGTGGGACACCCCACAGAAATTAAGAACAATTACTTTCTCAGTGCCACATCTGCACTTCTGTAAAGTTGACCATGCAAGGTTGAATTTAGTGTAACTCCTCATGAAAAGCAGGAGTACTGAAATCAACTTTAATGGCCCATAAAGTCGATGAAACGAGTTCGGTAGCATGGTCTCATTTTTCAGACATTCAACTTAATGTGGCAAAGTTTGACCTAAACTCCCAATGTAGACCAGGTCCAAGACTGCATGTGATTAAAGTTAATGGATAATACTTAAGAACTTTGGCTGAATCAGGGCCTAGGATGCTTAACTAACATATCCCGCTACTAACCTCAATGACAGGACCATATTCTCAAGATCACTCCCATCAAAGGAAATTTCTTTCATTGAACATAAAAGTTCCAGTTCTTTCATTTTGCTCTAGAGAAGAACAGGATGAAAATGTATCTGATTAAATAGGATCATGGGATTTTTTCTGCACATATTCATTAAAGTGTCCATGGTCACAAACCAAGAATATTAATCACCCATATCTAACTGCCAACTCTTTAATGCAAACATAGGCACTGGGAAATCATACTACATTTTTGGGACATCTTATTCTTCTGATATTTTTACTCCAAAAAGCAACAGTGATTGATATTTATGATGAATTCTTATTGTCAGCATATACCTTAGACAACTTGAAAGCATGTATTATAATTTTTAGTGCTAATATACTTATCCACTAAAAAAAACTTAGCAGTAAATGGAATAAAAGAGTAAATATACTACAGTCCATAAATGCAAAAATAAGGTAACAGGAGCTTATTTCTGTGAATGAATGGGATAAATGCAATGCTTACCTCATTGAAATGATAATCGTAAAAAAATGGAACGTTGTTTTCTAGCTTCCCATGTATAGAATCATCTACCTCATTCTGCCATCTCTGTTCCAATTCAGCTACACTCTAGTAAAAAACACAAAAATATTGAATATACAAAAGCATCCGTTTATCTTAGTTTCAGTAAGGGAAAAGAGGTCTTTGAATGCATTTCGAGGGGTTTCTTTTAGTTTTTTAAATGTCTATGTTAGTAATACCTTAAGAAGTTAATAATAAAAAATTTCTTCGGTTCTCTTACCTGCAATTGTCTTTCCATAGCATTTAGCTTTTTGAAGGTCTCCCCCATAATTTTACACAGCAAATCATATTCCTCAGCATGTTCTTCTTGATACTGGAAGTTTATTAGGGACTGGAGTGCATCAACCAAGTTCAAATGTTTAATAACACATGAAACTACCATCTCCTCCATTACATCTGGCTGAATCACTTCCCTGTTACAGATGGAAACTAATCTAATTAGCGAAGATACAAAAGAATATGTATTTACCATTCACTAGCAAGAAATTGTGCTTTAGTATCTTGTAGTTTAGTGATCACCCCACTTCACTGAAATATGGGTTAAACCTAGTCCTGGGAGAGGGCTGGGACTATAGGTCAATCAGGTGAAGGCAGGTAGCAGCCAATCAGGGCCTAGCTAGGGCAGTATAAACAGGCGCTGCTAGGCTCATGGAGGCACTCTTGCTCTAGTGATGGAACAGGAAGGACCTGGCAGCCTGGTAAACTAGGATACCCGAGATGAAGCAATGCTGGAAAAGGGCAAGCAGAACTGTGGAGCTCTGGCCAGGCAAACTTCCTGACTGAGACCTTGTTTTCAAGCCCTGAGGTGTATGAAGGCTGCAGGAAGGCAGCCAAGCCAGGAGAAGGCTGCAGGTTCGCATACCCTTGCCAATGATGAGTGGCCATTCCAGACTGCAGTTTGCCCTTGAGGTAAGGGGCTAGATCACAACTAGCAGGGAATCACTGTTATATAACCACAACCCCCAATATACCAAAGGTGGGTATAGGCGGTTGTGGTTCTCTGGGAGTGGAAGACCCCAGAGTGTGAGGGCACTGCCACTGGGCAGTACTGAAAGGAAGGGGGCACCATGGGACAGAAGTGACATGGGGCCTGAAATAGTGGAAAAGACAGGTAACAAAGGGAAGAGGGGCACTTCAGGACTGGAAGAGCTCATTCCCAGATAGACCAGCAGAAGAGGCCATGCCAATGAATGTTCAACCTGCCACAGATCTAGAAAATGCATATCAAGTTGAGAATTATCTTTTTCAATCTGATATTTCCGTGCCTAATATTACTGTAATAAATATCATCCTTCAATTATCACTACTGAGGTATTGGAGAATATTTTTATGTATTTTGTTTGGTTTCCACATTTGACAGCCCTTTGTATGCTAGTTTCAATAATAACGCTGAAGAAACAGTTACTTACTTTATACTAGGTCTAAACTGAGGCCGAGCACGTCCAGATATTTCCCTGAGTTTTATCATGATTCCTGGAGGCAACCTGATCCTAGGCAGATCAAAGTAATGTCCGACAGGAGGCACTAAGACATCAGAAGGATAGGTGAATTCTCGATCCTCGTCTATGGTAAGAGGCAGCGGAGAAGGGCTTGGAGTAAGGGCTGGAGATATTATCCCATTGGCCTCCACCTGCCACTGACATCTGAGAAAATAAAGATAAACAATACCTATATTAAAGGGCCTTTAGTTTCCTTCTAACCCTTACTCCTCATGTTGAGAAAGGCATAGTGCAACACCTTACTTAAAAACGTTTTATATGGGGCTTTATTTCAGAACATGAAGAAAGTAAAAGGTTCATGCTTCACAAAATGGCAGAACACAGCACCCATTGAAACAAATGGAAATTTTGCCAGACTGAGCTTTCTAGCACATGAATTTGGCTCCTACTGAATCAGGATCATAAGAATAAAAGAACAGCCATACTGGGTCAGACCAAAGGTCCATCTAGCCCAATACCCTGTCTGCTGACAGTGGCCAATACCAGATGCCTCAGAGGGAAGGATCACAATAGGTAATCCTCATGTGATCCCTTCCCTGTCACCTGACACCATTCCTACCCATCCTGGCTAATAGTCATTGATGGACCTAATGTCCAGGAATTTATCTAGTTATTTTTTTAATCCTGTTAAAGTCCTGGTCTTCATAACATCAAATCAATATCAGGGCAACAACAGTGGGTCATCTGGGTTTCAGAGCCAGTATAGTTTGGGCAGTTGGACACTGGCATTCTGAAGCATACCCGAGACCCCAGGTGGGGAATCAGTGTTAATTCTCCTTTATGTTTGCATTACAGATGCTGGCAGATGGGGCTGGCAGAGGATGGTGTGGATCTGTGGGTACAGTATTGTTTTCTGGGTGCACAGGAGGGCTTCCAGCTTTGTCTGGAGGTTTGTAGCTAGGCCTCAGTGGTGAAATAGTCCTAAGCAGGCACAAGAAGACAGGCATATTATGGAGCCAGCTGTTGCCCCTTCTGTGCACTGCGGTGGCTCATGAGCAGGAACCAGATATGATTTTCCCCCAGGTGAAGCGATTTGGGAATGTGTAAAGGGATAGGATTAATGATCAGAACTAAGGACAGCTTTGGACAGACACTGGAACTTCTCATGACTAAAAATTGCCGTCCCTCGCCCCGGAGGGACATGTGTGACATGTGTGATGGGGTGCTGCAAAGTGCCTTCCAGTCAACAAGGTGAGAAGGTACAGGAATGGGAGATAGGAATGCTGATAATATCTCACCTGGCCACAGTATATGGGATACAAACATTATTCAGAGACTTGGGAGCAGATGTGTTGGCTGACGTCTACAAAGTTGGCTAAGTATGCGAGGGAGTCAGCCACGTTAACTCATGGCTCCTCCTTGTGGCAGACATCCAGGCCACGGATACAGTATCAAATAAAATGAATTGGTGAAGGATTTAAAAGAGGTATTCTTTAAAGAAATGGAAACCAAGTGGGGGTCAGAGCTCCAATGACCTGTACAACAGGGAGACAAATCTTCATTTAAGAGATGGGTGCGGCAAGGTGCCAACAGCAGAATGACTGAGGAGAAGGGGAAGGGATGACAGCAGCACCCCATTGGTATATGTAAATGATTATGGAATTATTGGCACTGTATATTTTTACATGCCAGGCACTCCCCAATATTTAAGAATAAATTTGCAGCCTAATTAAACCACATTCAGTGTCTTCCGTCCTTCCAGCATAGCCAAACATTTATTTATTCAACAGATTTTGCCTTTTTCTCTATTCAACTACCCATGAACAGATTATACAATTTTGAAACTCACTGACTTCAAGAAAGAAAACTGATTCTTTATGTTTACAGATTATTCAAATGCTCATTTTACCTGATTTTAAAATATGTGCTATAACGTACTTACCAAACACACACTGTACAAACTTCCCATTTTTATATTAGAAGGAAATATTTGTAACTCAAGCAGTGATTGGAAGAAACTCAAATCATTCAAAATGCCACAATTTATTTAACTGGCTAAGAGCACAAATTGGGAAGTTTACAATGAGATACAAAAATTTTCTTCTAGCCAATATTACAAAGTTTGAACTAAGAAGTTACTTTTCATAAGTATTTGAGCTGGTAAAGCTTGAGTGATTAAAGTGTTTGCTGAAAGTTAATACAGAAAGGATATAAACATGGCTGAATGGAAGTTTTCTGTAAAAATATGAATTAGTTTTCACAGAATACTTTCCAATTTTCACTCAGCTCTAGTAAGGAAAAGATCTTTTTCTTTTGCTAAGATTATTTCTTTCCCCTGCAATAGTTATACAGAATTAATAGCACTGCTGAGTTATGTCCATATATTTTAGAGAATTGTGCGTCTGTCTGTGAGTCTGTTTGTTGAAGAACTCCTCCTAAACAGAAAGAGCTAGGACCACCAAATTTGCTATGCAGCTTCCACTTCGCCTAACTTAAAACAAGGTCAGAGTTTGGCTGTGTCATGACAATTGTAAATACTGGATACGGGACAGTTTTCCATAACATGGAAAGGGAGGGGCTGCTGTTCGGAGGGACTCTGTATGAAAGTGGCCACTCGGAGCAGCAACCCTATAGGAAGCTATCCTGCAGAATGTCCACTAGCTACACCACAAAGGGAGTGGCCAGGAGGGCTGAGGCTCTGCCATCTTACCTGCCAGCACACTGGGTAAATAGCCTTCCTGCCCCAAACTTTTGCCCCCCTTCCCTGACCCTTGGCTGAAGCATTGGAGTGGGAGAGAAGAAAAGGCCCCTGGTGGCTAGGAGGTAGGCTGAGGGAAGAGAAAATGCCCTAGTGGTTGGGGAGGGTCTTGAGAGAGAAATGGCCTGTGCCAAAAGGGACTCCCTGCACTGCATCCCTCATCAACCCTCACTCTCATATCCTCCCCCAGTCTCCTGCACTGCTTCCGAAGGCCCTGCCCTGACTCCTGCACACACACACACTCACACCCTGCCAGCATCCTGCCCTGCAGGACTCAGGAAATACCAGGTAAGTCTTCTAGGATACAAATAATAAAAGTGTAGAGCAGACAGATACATGACTGCATGCTTAAGTACAGAAGCAAATTAACTTTTTCTGAAAGCTATCTGGCTTCAAAATGCAAATTAAGTAAAAAGACAAGGGGGGGTGAGGCAATATCTTTTAGTAGATCAACTTTTGTTGATAAGAGAGCAGCTTTCGAGTCACAGAGGTCTTCTTCAGATCTAAGCTTCTCTCTCTCACCATTAAAACTTGGTCCAATAAGAGATATTACCTCACTCACCTTGTCTCTGCAATAATCTGGGACCAACACTACTACAAGCATCATTTGATGATTCCCTGTTCTGTTCATTCCCCCTGGGGAACCTGGAACTGGCCACTGTTGAAAGACAGGATACTGAGCTAGACAGAACTTTGGTCTGACCCAGTATGGCCATTCTTATGTTTATATCACAACTACAGTGCATACAATTATATTAAATTAAAATTAAATTAAATTCAGATTCAAATCAACCTTTTTTTTTTTTTTTTTACCTCTGTAACAGTTTAGATCTTAAGAGTTCCTGGCACGTTTCCTCATCTTTGGTAATTTCTGGTCCATTGTATAATATCCTTAGCATGGAGCAGGCTAACACAGAGAGGCCTAAAGCCAGATCAACCAAGAATGGTAATCCTCCCGACACATCTTCTGAAGACTCCTGCAGTATTGACAGAGATAAACCAAGCGATTAATTATTTTTAAAGTGGCTCTCTAAGCATTCTACTTCGAAATATGACTTGCATATATCATACAGTGTCACAATAAAGCAAGCTCTGACAATTTTATTTATAGAACACTACAAATGAGTTTGTATGAAAACTTAATTTGAATAGTTTGAAATTCATGTGATTAGAAAACTGGGAAATCAGATAATCCTAAAAGACTAAAAAATTTTTTTGAGGGGAGACAATCCACCACCCCTGAAAATGTCATTTTATCTTCTCTTAGACCAGATTTTGTCTTATCTCTTGGGCACTGTGGTACACATTTTTCTTCTTAGTACTTGATCTCAGTTTCCTTCCTCCCACATTGGGTCTTTTTCTCTGTCTTAGAGCCATAATTAATTATTTACGTCTCTGATTTCCACTTTACTAGCAGATACTTAATCCCCTCATTGTACTCATCTCCTACAAGTCAGGATGAATATCTTAGAGGTCTTCCCCAAGTCCAGCGTAAAAATATATATCTCACTCTCACTCACACTCTCACTCACACACACACAGTACTTAGAACTGTCATCTGCTGTCCCAAAGCCTAATTGTACCATAAAGTGTATCTGACCAAATCTAGCCAATGAAGTGAGAGAGCTCCCTTACACTGTAAAGAAATGGCCATTGAAAGAGCCATCCTGAAGTTTTAACCCCACATCCAACCTTTAGGTCTGTTTCAAAAGTACAACCACGATTTGTTTCTTAATTTGAAATAATGTGCATAATGTAAATCAGATATAAATTCACATTCAGCCTATTTGACAACATTGGTCATAATGACCGTACCTGTGCTCGGACAGTGCAAGCAAAGCCCCACATAGCTTTGTCTGGAGTGTTGTGCTCACGGCCACTCCTCATTTCAAAGGAGAAGGTAACTGTATCCCCTTCCACCTTAAATTTTAAAGGGAGGGAGGAAAAGACAGTTAAAACAAGACAAATGGACTTTTAAAAAATAATACTGGCTTATTTTATGGATTAATTTTTAAAATAATGACAGTTGCTTTATTCTTAAAAATATCTTTTTATTTCCAATTATGTATGCTAATTAAGCTCTTCCCCTTTTCATGAAAATATCCATTTGTGATTACACTTTGGTTAGATTTTGTTGCTCACTATCTATAGTGGGCAAAAGAAAGACTGTGTCGCGATAGCTACAATTATAGCTAACCCAGGCAGACAAGTTTCCACTAAAATATTTTATTTTTTGAGAGCACAGGCAATAATCACCAGTTCCTTTCCTGTGGCCAAGAAAGTAGGCTAACTCTTCAAGTAGAGGAAACCAATGAAATAACTTAATAAACAGCAGTGGCTGCTAACATAACTGTACTTTCTGCAAAACAACATTATCTACACTAATTTGAGCCATTGGAACAGAGCGTTTCCAAGACTAGAACTTCCAAGTTGCAAATCAGTACACTGCTTGTCTAACCGAACAACCACCTCTCCCTTTACTTTGACAATGTTATACATTTTATCAAGTATATACCAAATTTTAGATAGGACTGCACTCGGGGATTATGCTTTACCACAACTACATCAGGGAAGTGATCTTTTACGTAAATCAGAGAGAACATACTGAGTTCACCAATTCTGATAGAGATTTCTGAGAATCTCAGATTTCTACTTCTTGTTAAATGTATGTTCCCTAAAATTCCATATTAACTAATTTTAAAAATGAGATAAATGGATAGAGGAAAAATTGTTAATATTTAATATTTTTAATGGCT